AAATAATAATATTAATTTAAAAAATTCTTCTGATATCACCCACATTTTCTGACATTTATACTTAATTATCTACTAAGTAAAAATCACACTGTCACACAGAGGCTAATGTAATAAAGATCAAGCCATTGGCATCATTAACTCCCTTTATCTACTTTTCCAACAAATCACCAAGGCCCAGGAAGGGAAGGAAAGCACATCACCTTTGCAGTAGTCTGCAGGGTCCTCCTGCTCCTCATCGTCTGATCCCAAGATCTCCTCCTCCGGCTCTGGAGGTGTGGGGTCTGGTAGAGGTGGTGGTGGTGGTGGCGGTGGCGGTGGAGGAACTAAGGGAGCTTTCTGTTGAGGCTCCGGCCTGAAACACAGAAAAGGAAAAGCCCTGTTTACTTGGAAGTACATGATGCATTATGGGCACACATGGGAAATATGTATGTCAATATGGGGGGAGGGATAAACTGTCACAGAGAAGAAATGCAGATTGATATCATTTCATCCATTTTAACATCAAGGAATAGTTCAACAACTCAAGAGGATAACACTTTTTATTGTTTACTCAATGAATAATCTTCCAGGCACGTTTTCGCTCTGAATTTCATTATTTCATAACTCAACAATAACATCAAATAGAAGTGAAACAAGAAAGTTATCCCTCCGTGATATACAGCCTTATTAATTAGAAGAACATCCTAAAAAATTATGAGAAAACAGATTTAAAAATCAGCCCTAAGCCTACAAAGGCACTCAGTTTCCATTAATTTAAAACCAGAATTCCTTTTGTCATAGAAATAGAAAAAGTGATTAGGTTTCTTTTTCTTTTTTTTTTTAAGATTTATTTATTTGTGCATACAGAACTGGGGTACAGTCCAGAGACTCAGGGGCCGAAAGAGGTTTCACCATTGACAAAGTGACTCATGCTGCAGTGGCTTTATTTTCTCAGTTCTGCGCTTTAACCTGCTGCACCACCAGGGAGGGCCTGATTAGGTTTCTTAGATAACTCATACAAACTGATTAGTATATGCTGTAGCCGATATACCAATTATTTCCTTAAGGAATTTCCATCAACCTTATCAAGTTACCCATCAATCTTATCAAGAATTCTGCCGTAAAATTATAAATTAAAGAAAAAACATACTGTCAGTCAAATACAAGTCAGTCCATACATTTATTTAATATAAAGGTATGCAGTGGCCACATCTAATTGTGACAAAATGGGTAAATGTCAACTACTCTTAACGAAGACTAGAAAAACCCGTAATATACAAATAAAAAGCTGAGAGGCCACAGATGTAAACCTTTCAGAGATATAGAACAAGTACATATTAAAGGTATTTGCTTAAAAGTGAAAGCATTCATAATGTATGCAACTCAACAAAACCAATCTTTCACTTATTATAAAAATGCAACTGCAATTTCTAACCATGTCCTAATGGGGAAACTTAGCCACAACCCAGAATCACATCTCTTCATTAGGTTGAATATGCTGCCCTAATAATGGGGTCACAACTGTTCTCCTTAACTGGCCATAGCTATGTGGCTAAAATGAAGGGAGGGAACAGATACCACCTGACAAGGACAGGAGCATTCCCCGGGGGCAGTGTCAGCAGGATGGACAGAGGGAGGGTGTTCCTATTTCACAAACAAGGAGAATCCCACAAGCACTGGTATGGTGGACAACTGCAATCAATCTATGCATCTATCATCCATCCATATCACAACCATCCATCCACCCACGTATCATCCATCCTTCCATCCATCCACCCACGTATCATCCATCCTTCCATCCATCCACCCACGTATCATCCATCCATCCATCCATCCACCCACGTATCATCCATCCATCCATCCATCCACCCACGTATCATCCATCCATC